CCAGCCGGGGGCGTGGCAGCACCACGACGGCTGACGAAGACCAACGCAACGACGACGAAGATACCAGTCACCAGCGGAGTCGCTACCTGTTCTGAACGGAGGAGGCAGACAGCGCGATGCCATTACAGCACATCAGAAAAGGATCCACGAGAACGACACCACCAGTGTGAGCTTAAAGTCGGAGATTCGAACATATACTCTCTCAAAGGGAGAGAACAAGAGCTAGTTGATGAGGCCATAAAGTACCAACTCAACATTGTTGGACTATCGTCAACGAAACGCCCAGGCTCTGGCCTCCTGAACCTCAATGGATGGAAGCTGCTCTACTTAGGTGTCGATATCACGACGCGAGCTCAGGCCGGTGTTGGTGTTCTGGTAGAACCTAGCCGCGCCGCGCAAAGAGAACCATTGATTGGAAGCCTGTCAGCAGAAGGGTGGTAATCCTTCGACTGAAGCTTCAACAGGCTAAAGCGTTGACCTTGTTGCAGGTCCATGCGCCCAATTTAGAGAGGGAACGTGATTGCCTTCTTGAGGAAGTGCTCTGTCCAAAGTGCTGAATACATAGTCCTTCATACCAATGGGCGATTTGGCGCATGTACATGTTGGAGTAGACGCTGAAAAGTGGAATGACGTGATTAGAAAAGGCGGCCCTAGCGACCTCAACAATAACGGAATGAAGTTGTTGCGGATTTCTGCAAACAATGGACTGTCCATCATGAACTCCTTCCTCGAGCATCCAAAAGTGCGTCTGTATACATGATAACGGAAAGATAGTGCACAGAAGTCGATGATCGATTTGATATACATATCGTCTGACTAAAGACGCTCATTAATGGATGTTCGCGTTAAAACAGGCGCAGAGCTATCAACCGATTACCATCTTGTTGTTGGCACGCTGCACTGAAAGAAGTGAAGTGCCGTATGAAGATCTGGTGACAGAAGCAACCAGGGAATCAAATGGGAAACATTATCTTCGGTGGACAAGAGAGCGGAATTTGCAAACAACATCCGACGACGGTTTGAACAGATCCGGTGATGACAAACAATGTGGAAACCAAGTGGCAGCTCTTTAAAAGCGGCATGCTTGAGGCGGCCGCCAAATACCGCGGATTTAAACGGGTTGGCCTGCCGCTTGGAGGTCAGAAAAAATCTTCTCAGTAGACATGAGAGGTACAACTGGCAGCTAAATGGAAGGCAGCGTTCAAAAAACGGCTTGGAAACAGAGAGTATTCTATTCGCAAGCGACATGCCCACGCAAGGCGGCAACGAAAGCATTGGCGAAAGCTAACGGTGATTCCTAGAAGAAGTTCGGTAAGGTGTTGTAGTCGAATTTCCACATGGCAAGCAAGGGATTCTGGCAGACCATCCGCCGACTCCGAGGTGAAAAAAATGGGAAGTCTAAAAGTCTTTAAGGACAAGTCTGGACACCCTCTTACCAAGGTTGATAACATTCTTCGGCGGAGGAGACAGTACTATGAGGAATTCCTTGACCCTGAGCAATCGCAGGAAGACTCGCCTGTAGAGCATCAGGGAACGGATGTTACTATCACTGTAGATGAAATTACACAAGCTGTGAAAAGCTTGAAAAATGGAAAGGCTGCTGGAATTGATGAAATCGCCCTGAAGTGGTCAAGGTATTAAGCGAACAAGGCGTGTGCTGGCTTTCAACTGTCAGTCAAACTGCAGTGACTACGGGAAACATACCAGCGGGTGGGAGAACCGGAGTTTTTGTACCCCGATTCAAGAAGGGAGACCACAGAGTGCCTCAATTATAGGAGCATTACGTTATTGAGCCTCCCAGGTAAAGGCTACGCAAAGGTGCTAGAAAGGTGCCTTAGAATAACTGACTCAAAGATGCAAGAGGATCAGTGTAGCTTCCGGTCCATTCGATGCCCCCTTGACCACATATTTGCCCTCAGCCAGATTGTTGAGAAATCGTTGGAGTTCGCTCGCTCGGTGTATGTTTATTTTGTTGATCTAGAAAAAGGCTATGACCGGATGCCACGCGACAGTCTGTGGTGAAACATGCGAGCATGCGGGATAGATGGTCAGCTGCTCTGTGTCATCCGGTCACTGTATTCTGATAGCAGGTGCTGCGTCAGAGTAAATGGCGTTAAGTCGACACCATTCAACGTTCTCACTGGTCTCCTCCAAAGCTGTTTTCTTCCCTATGCTGTTTGTGTTGTACGTGGATAGAACAGTCACGAGCTGCCAAGGTGATAAGTGTATCAGTGTAGGAGATGTGAAAACGAGAAGGTTACTCTTTGCAGACGACCTTATTTTACTGTAATATTCTGAAACTGAACTACAGTGCTCCATAGAAAGGTTTGTAGCAGAGTGCGATATGAGCGGAATTGGTGTAGAAGCATCTAAAACGAAAAGTCAGTGCTTTCTCGTTCTTTAGCCAGCTGCTCTCTTCAGATTAACTGAGACTTGGTTTAGCGGGTGGAGAAGAACCTCTCGAAGACGTTTTACCAGTAATGGAAAATTTGAAGAGAAAGACAGGTGAAATGGAGTAGCCAGTGGCGTTCTATATGAACTAGCCTGATCGATTGTGACCAAGGTAGAGCTCAGTCTGAAAACTAAGCTCTCGGTGTTCAAGTTGATATTTATCCCCATGCGTACCTACAGCTATGAGTCGTGGACCATGATTAAAAAGCTTCGAACCCGGGTGCAAGCAGGTGAAATGGGCTTTTTTAAGTGAGTAGCTGGCCTTACGCATCTCGACATGGATCCGGAACGCTCATCGACATGCTCAAGGAGAGCCTTGGCGTGCGGGCTCTGTTTCTCCAAACTGAGAAGTCACAGCTGTGATGGTTTGAGTATGTGTTGCGAATGCCTCCAGGAAGGAAGGCTAAGTAACTGTTTCTTTCCTAACGGACCGGCCGAAGGCCCAGTTACGGCTAAGTTTAACCTGGTGCAAATATATGGAAGGAGTCTGTTCCAGACTCCAGTTATCTTCTGGCGAATTTCAGACTCTGGCACAAGATCAGGAACGTTGGAACCTCTGTCTGACTAGTCTGCCAGCGCGACATGAGAGGAGAAGCGGCCATGGAAGATGAAGATCAAGAACTAATGGTAATACTAATAATACTTCAGGTTCTGATTCTGGACCCAGAGTTATATGGATAGGTGTTCAGTCAGGTTCAGGGCACCACATACAACAGATAATAAAACACTTCATTTCCGACGCCTTTCCGTACAGAGACCGTAAAATTATTAAGATTAGGCTAAATAAAAATGACTGGTAAGCACTTATGCCAAACAAGCAAACAATACTTTACAGTAAAAACGCT